AGGAAGTGGCGTGATACAAACGTTACGTGACCTGCGTTGTCGTAACACTGCCCCTTCCTTAATATTGTTCGATCCGAACAATAGCATCTCACATTAAACCAACAACAATTAACAATAACTTAGTTAAATGTACAGAATTACAAACACAAAATTAAAATTCAACAAAGTCTCTTAATTTCACGGGACGTGTCTTCTTCCGTACTGGTCTCTGTCTCGTTGGCTTCTGCTTCATATGGGGTTCATCTGCTTCATCAGGAAATGTCCTATCGTCGATAACAGTCACATCAGTGGTAGTAACTTCATGAAGAGCTTCACTGTTTCCCTTCTCAAAACTGAGTAGAGTTTCTTTTTCGACAGTGGCTTTTTCAGGTGACACTTCTTCAGCAGCGTCATTTGTTCCTTTGTTCACTTCGTCCCAACTGAAATGTCCTGGATCGTAATAATGCCAAAGCCTGTTGGCATGCACCACTTTTGGCTTACCTCGCCGACCACATTTGATTTGGAAAGTCACGTCTGAGAGACGATCCATTATGTCATACGGGCCTTCCCATGGAGAAGACAACTTAGGAGACTTCCCTTTGGTCTTCCTGGGATTATACAACCACACCTTGTCTCCTGGTTCAAAGCTGACTTCAGTAGATCTCTTATCACAATATAGCTTCATCGAATCAGCAGACGTTTTCAAGTTTGAACGCACTTGATGGTGAATATCATCCATTCTTTCAGATAACATTTTCACGAACTCTGACTCATTTTCAGGCAACTATTCGTAAGGTGGGCGTCCTGTTATCAGATCCACTGGCAACTGAAGTTCCTAAACAAACATCAGCTTTGCTGGAGTGTATCCAGTGGCTTCATGCTCTGCTGCTCTATAGGCCATCAATAGTAGAGGGAGTAAGACATCCCAATAATCTTGGCAGCTATCACAAAACTTTGCCAATTCCTGTCCCAGTGTCCAATTGTACTTTTATACCATCCCATCAGACTGTGGGTGAAGTGGCGTTGTTCTGGTCTTTCGTATGCCAAACAACTTGCAGCATTCATGGAACACAGCTGATTCAAAGTTACGGCCTTGATCTGAATGCAGTTCGTATGGCATACCAAATCTAAAGAAGAAATCACTAATAGCCGAAGCTACAGTTGTAGGTTCCTGATTTGGTATTGCATATGCCTCAGGCCATTTGGTAAAATAATCCATCACCACACAATTGTACT